TATAAGCGATTATATGAATGGAAGTGGGGGAAAATCAAAAAATAAAACAAACTTGCACAGCGTACACACATAAGGCATCTTTGCGCAAAGTTTGGTGTCTCTACCTCTTATAGTCTATGAGATCCAGCTGTTCATACGGACAGACAGTCCGTACATTTTTCACCTCCCAAAAACCTAATACACTCTTGTACCTTTCATGTACAGAGTATAAAAACACGACTTAACGATGTTCGAAAGGATATACGATTCATTTTCGCACGAGAGCACATGGCCTGGAGTTCTGATTAGAGCCATGTTGTCATTTCGGATGAAAAGAAAGAACCCGCTATATACAACTATTATTTCCTTGACCTTTGGAAGGATGTGCATCAGTTGGATCATCTACATACTTCAGTAAAATTGATATTTGTGCAAAATTAGTTTTTGATATTACCGATATTTTAATAGAGATATACGAGATATACGTATATGTTTTGTGTATACAAATTTTATCCCTTATGCTTTGTGATTTTTATACCCTGTACCCGTAGGGTAAAAAAGGTATATTAGGTTTGTGCAAAGTATGTAACATACAGAAGGAAGCATCTCCGACCCCATAAAGTATATATATTCTGAATCAGCATGACGAGAGAAATCGATCTAGACATGTCGTCAATAGCGTCCACATTTCAAATGCTACCTAAACCAAACTTTGCACACATAATTTACACATAATTATCTACTGTTGTTTTATTCAATTCGGTCAATTCTAAGAAAAGTTATTAGCGAAACAAATTCTCTCCAGTACAACCCCCCGAAACTGCAGCAACAAGTTCGCTCTTCTTCTTCCTCTTTTTGCTGCTGCTATGGGCGCATATAACTCAGTGACGGAAGTTTACCTGGGTACAGGGTATTACACTGTCGGGCTTGCTCGACTGTAGCGTTCTGCCTTGTTTGTTATACATTTGTTTTTTATCAGCTCTTAATCTCTAGTACCGTTACAGTTAAGAAGAATACCAAGTCACGAGTTTCATAGAAAATTGATTATTGTGCAAATTATCCTTTTACATTTAAAGCGTGAGACACAGAAAAAAAATTGAATTGTCAAGCAGATTTATTGGAGGCTTCCGTATTGTTTTGGCGAACTAAAAATTAATAATAACTCAAAATGCTCCGCGTAAACGAGTTAAACACAGAAAATTAAATAAAAATCAGAACTATGACTGATTGTAACATTAAAGTCGGTGTTATTGTTAAAGCACTAATCAAGAATCTACAACTTTTTAAAATTTCCGAAAAAATATGCTCAAAACCACCGGAAAGGGGGTGTTCGCATGGTTGGGGACCGTACTAAAAGGCATATTGGAGATTTGGTGATTGATGAGCTGCGCCCATGTCACGACAGAATTAAAGATGTCAATAACTGGGCTACAGTTGCAACAAATTTGCAGAAAGGAAATGGGTCTCCAATATGACGCCTAGGTGCATAAACCAAAGCTATTGCACCGACATAAAATGGTCCGTCTTGTATTTTACGAAAAATACAATTTTTAGGTCATGATATGGGCGGCTTTTAGCTCCTTTGTAAAGTTCCCAATATGCTTTATAGCAGGTCGGCTGAATGCGCAAATCTCCTGGGCAGCGAAATATACCATTTTCAAGGATTTCCATGGAGAGAATTAGAAAATTAAGCGGAATAACTCTCCAATACATGTTGCACGGTTAGCATGACGTTTGACAAGAAATATTCCCTTAATGCAATGTCCTGCAATAAGTCCGGATTTTAATCCAATTGAGGACCTTTAGGGCATCCTATCAGGCAAAGTTTATAGATGTGGAAAACAATTTCACTCTGCAAAATTTAAGATAGGCCATTGTCTAGGAATGGGCAAAAATGGACATAATCATCTTTCAAAAGTTGGTAAATCCATGTCCTGACGGTTGCAATTGGTCAAATAACAATAGGGAAACAATATCCTACTAAAATCATAAGAAAATTGTATTCAAAATGTAAATAATAATTAAAATTTGAATTTCTTTTCATTTACACAAATATTAACTTTTAATGAAAAATTTGCTTACCTTAATTTATTATTGATCAAATAATCAAAAATTAAATATATTTATGGTTTCTTAATTATTATTATCTATTACCTATATAAAAAATTAATAGTAAAAATCTAACATGCAAGAGTTTATAATAAACTTTTAAACACAAGTGGCACAAATATCAATTTTACTGAGGTAGTCGACTGAGCGGTGTAATGGTGTGGGGAGCTATCTCCTACTATGCTACGTGCGAATTGCAATTTTTGAACAGGAAATAAAATATGATTGCAAACAGTTTTGAAGTACAAAACATAGATTTGTTGAAGTGGCCGCCTTACTCACTTCTACCAAATAGGAATTTATTGCAGACATTAAAAGTGCCTAGTCAGCCATTTCTTTTCCATTTCTTAAATTGTTATGACGCGCAGTGTATATATGCCTGCCAGGCACGAACGAGCGCTCGGCGTCTGCTGGCCTGGGCAAAATATCTCGGCCTCCTGCTGCCGGCTAACAACGACTGTGCACATTTTGGGCGACTTCTCGTGACGATCAAGAGAAGTGGAGAGAAAAGCTACGGCGTGCAATTTACATGGACCAGGCAGCCGATTTTTTGGTATAAATTCGAAATATCAAGTTAGAGACTTGGAATTTGGTACAGCGTGACGTGAATAAGAACTGTCTCATATAAAACACAGATGTTGTCATTAGTTTTTCAACTAATGAGAATTCACGTGTGTTTGTGTATTAGTATTATACAAAATAACACTTATATTTATGATTTTTTGTGCTTTAACTTACAAATAATACAACAAATTGGATAAAAACCAACCACTGCAAAACTCATGCCAAACTTTAAATATTGCTATTTTGCATAAAATCTATTATGCTCGTCCCACAGATAGGTCACAATTGATATGATTTTGTATTTGTCTAAACGTATAAAACTTTTCCATCTATTAGTGTCAGATTGAGAAATTGTGTAAGGAGCACTACGACTTAACCACAAAACATTTCCAAAATCATCTAGAAGTTTTAGGGGTATAATAGTGATTACAAATAACGAGATCTGTGTATATGCCCAGTTGTTCCCTCGAATCCATAACTTAATGTAAATAGTTTTAGATGGACATCAGTGTGACCCAGAGGTTTTCCAAAGTGACTTGCGCGACAGTATCGGTGACAGTAATATATAAAGGTAGAGTAGTGTTTTTTTTCTTTCTCTTTTACTTTGTTGTCGCTCGGATACAAATCGCAAGATCAACTTTTGTTAAGCTCGAATGTTGTTGTAGAGGCTTTTAGTCAAAAAGTTTTCGGGAAAAAATACCGTTAGAGGAACTGACTCCGAATCAATTGTTTTATTTTTTTTACTCGATTTGGGTTAATCGAAGCAAGCAAAATATTTTTTAATATCACCGCAGTATGCAAAAGAGATACATGTTGCAGCATTGGTTATTTCCCACTAGGTTTGAATACGACGGTATGAAATTCGCTGAAGTAGTTGTGGCATTTATTATATCCACCGTGAAAACCATGTTATTCAATAGCGATTTAGAATTCTTCGCCTTAAATATTCGCATATTTCTAACAAATTTTGCTAAATTCCTTCTTATTATACCCTGTACCCGTAGGATAAATAGGGTTTATTAGGTTTGTGCAAAGTATATAACATGCAGAAGGAAGCATGACGAGAGAAATCGATCTAGACATATCCGTCTGTCTGGATGAACGCCTGGATAACGGAAGCGGCTGAGCGTACATAAACCAAACTTGGTATGCAGACGCTCCTAGGCAGTAGTCTATACGGGTTTATTTTATTTTTGATTTTCCCTCCCCTCTCCACGGTTTAGAATTTCGCCAATACTGTCCACATTGTCAAACCTACATAAACCAAACTTTGTACTCATAATTTATATATACATAAATCTCAAATTTTGTTTTAAATTTCATCCAAATCAGACATTTTTACTCTAGTACTACGCCCACAAACTGGAGCATCAAGTTCGTTCTTCTTCTTTTTGCTTCTGCTAGGGGGCGCATATAACTCGGTGACGGAAGTTTGTTTGGGTACGGGGTATTCCACTGCCGGGCTTGCTCGACTGTAGTGTTCTCTCTTGCTTTTATATTAATTTAATCTTTTAACAAGTAAATGCACACAAAAAACAAATGATCAAATACGAAGAAATTATTTTTATATTCTGTGCATAAAATGTACAAGAGTATATTAGATTTGAGCGAGCTGAATAATGTAACAAGCAGAAGGAGGCGTGGTATACCCCACAAAGTATATACATACATATGTATGTATATTCTTGATCAGCAGGATAAGACGAGTCGATCAAGCCCTGTCTGTCTGCCTGTCCGTCCGTATGAACACCTGGATCTCAAAGACTATAAGAGCTAGAGACATCAAATTAGGCACAAATCTGCCTTATGTGTGTACGCTGTGCAATTTTTTTTTTTTTTGATTTCCCATGATTATGTGTGTGTTTGTCAAGTCATTATGATAAGCGGATTTTTAGTGAAGTTATACCCATAAAATAAATCTCTGCCGCAGCTGTTATTGTTGCAGCTTTGGCCCAACTCTATACTGGATAGACATAGGTACAGAGTATTTCAAAGTCGGGGCACCCGACTTTAGCTTTTCCACTTCTTTTATCATATTGTAGTCTGATCTGGTCCAACGACATATTATCTGCGTATAAAAGAAAGAAGTATCAATGCAGCTTCATTTGTGATTGTTTTTTTGATTTGTGTCGTCATTTATGTACATATGTATGTATGTATATACATATGTACATATGCATATGTATAAATGGCACATGTGGTCTGCCGACTTCTTCACGTTATAAATATCAGATCAAACGAAGTAAAACCAATGCACTGATATAGTGAATCGACCAATTATGAAGCACCAGTTGGTTTAATTTTGTAAATTCATACAAATTAAAAGTTTCAGTTTGTGAATTCTTTACCGCAATACGGGTTCCATTTTATCAGACTTCAGACTGTTACTCTCAGCTATTGTCATCGTAAAATGGGATCTATGTGAATGTGGCAAGCTGGTTCCACTCCTAGGGAAATAAATAAAGATTTGGGTTTTCATATGTTATGGTCCAAATTACCGCAAATACTTATGTATAGCATAGTAGTTCGCATACCTATTAATGTATGAAATTTTTTTAATTTTTTTCTGATTAACAAAACCTGCTGTGTCACAAATCGATTTTCTTAAAGAAAGGCAAGCCCGCTTGGAACACATAAGAATTAGCTGATGTTAAAATCCGTATCAACATATATAAATACATATGATCACGCATACACAACATTCGTAACACAAGACAATTGTAGCAGATGACATCGGCCAGCAAACAAGAGAACGTTGGAGTGTATGTAAAAACATCGATTTTTTGACATAGTAGATGTTTTGTATTGAGTACTAAATTTTTTCGATATTTTTACGAACGCGATACATCGACGTAGACAAAAAAAAAATATCGAAAGCCTAACATCTCTAATTTTATAAAGAATTCAAAAGTAAACGGATATAAATAATTCCAAAATAAGTATAAGCTTTGTGGCGGCTCGGTTTCAGCGGACACTGCCCGGTCTGGCAGCACCGCATCGTCGAAAACAGACGCAGGTGCCCAGGGTTGTATTTTAGCGCTCATAGCGAGCTCAGTGTTGTTCCGGCTGCTGCACTCCAAATATACACGCTGTACATCAATCATTCAGCTCATTGTTCAATAAATGTAATTTAAAAAAATACCTAGTTACTACAGCTTTAATACTTCTAGAAATAGGCATAAATGGAATTAATGGAATTGCCACGCGGGTTATTTCGTAATGTTTGCATGTCTTTACAGTTTTACATTGATTTCTTTTATAAAGTTGACCAGTGAATTGTACTCAGCTGTGGCCGCTTGCTTGAAAAAAGTGTGCACATTGTTGTATTTTGCTAGTGATGTGTATCGTTGACGTGCTGTGTTATGCTTTGTGCATTCGAAAATAACATGAGTTGCAATTTGAACACCGTTCGGAGAACATATTTTAGCAATAATAATAGTTCACCCGTACTTCAAGCACTCGAGTAGAAGTTCTCCGAACGGTGCTCAAATTGCAACTGTATTCATGTTTATTTGTTTATTTCATAGACAAATAAAGCTTTCGATTTAAAAAGAAGAATAAATCATTATAAAAGCTATTAAACTAAATAAAATTAACGAAAAGAAATACAACAAGAGAGAACGCTACAGTCAAGCAAGCTCGACAGTACAATAGTCTCAAAAAAAAGGAAAATTAAAAAAAAAAAAACAATTTTTTTAAAATTAAATTATTAAAAAAAATTGAATTAAATAATTAAATTAATAAAGAACATTTATTTAATACATACAAAGAAGACATATTTATTTACAGTTTTAAAAGCATTTTTCAGAATAAAACAAGTAAAAAATCTGAAGTCGGGTGTCCCGACTTTGAAATACTCTGTACATAAGTTTACAATAATTATAGAAAATAAAAAAAATTAAGAAAATAAAAAAAATTTGATCGATTTTACCTCTCTCGGTAGGGTTTATAATTGCACATTTACATAGAAAATGCGTCTGTGTGAGTGTATGTATACCTATGCGCATCTATTCGTATCTGTGTAAACATGTGTGCAGTCAACCAAAGCACCAGCATCAACAACAGCCGCGGGCAGCGCTTGATCAGCGCTGCAGCAGCAAATATATTTATGGCTATAACTTCTCGTTAAATCGGTTCATCATAGTGAAACTTGGCATACGGACACATAATAACCAACTGGGGGTATTTCCAAAATTTTAGTTCGAAATTCCAAGAATTACGGAAGTTACGATTTGCGTGGGAGAGGGGGGAGGGAGGGAAATTCCAAAACATTTTTTGCGTATTCACATAAGGCATCTGGGACTAAAATTTGGTGTTCCTAGGTCTTATAGTCTCCGAGATATAGGCGATTATACGAATGGAAAATCGGGAAAACCCCCACAGGGGGGAAGTGGGGGGAAAACTAAAAAAATAAAACAAACTCGTATAGAATACACATATAAGGCATCTTTGTGCAAAATTTGGTGTCTCTATCTCGTATAGTCTCTGAGATCCAGGTGTTCATACGGACGGACAGACAGATAGGGCTAGATCGACTCGCCTCGTCATGCTGATCAAGAATATATATACTTTGCGGGGCCTGCCACACCTCCTTCTGCCTGTTACATTTTCAGCTCCCGCAAACCTAATATACTCTTGTAAATTGTATGTACAGAGTATAAAAACAGCAATACAAGATAAGGAAGAAGTATAATTAAATTAGATTATATTAAAATACTTAAATATTAAAAGATACAATACTTGTATAGTTAAAAGCTAAGGGTGGAGAATCACTGATTTGTTGGGGGAAGGTTTTTTAGCCAGTCCGGCAAGCTATACAGAGTTGATTAGTGATACTGGTAACTGACAAATGAAGATTTTAGTGTGGGGGGAGAGATCTTAGAGTAAAAGAGTATTCTAATTGGAGCATAAGAAGAGGCAAAAGGTTCCTTGTTGGTCCGGAAGGAACTGGGGAGGAACTGAATACCAAGAACTATCCTACTATAAGCTAATGAAGTCAGGTTAATCAGCTGTACGAGTACATGCGGCGGAATTTGACAAGCACATACATGCACATGTACATACATCCCAGGATCTTATTATTCTGAAAAGTGAAATAATATGCATACATATGTTATTTATATATAACAAGTATTTTAATGAAATGCTTGCGGAATTCAAACAAATAAAATAAACTCGTGTAGCCCAGGGACTAGGAGCGTCTACATACCAAGTTTGGTTAATGTGCGCCAAACTGTTTCCGAAATTCAAGCGTTCATCCAGACGAACGGACGGACGGACGGACATGTCTAGATCGATTTCTCTCGTCATGCTGATTTGGAATATATATACTTTATGGGGTCGGAGATGCTTCCTTCTGCATGTTACATACTTTGCACAAACCTAATATACCCTTTTTACCCTTCGGGTACAGGGTATAATAAATGGCAATGTATGACACGACGTGGTGGTGTGTAATCGGATCCAATTTGTAGTATCTCCTGCTCCAAAATTGGCAACAGTTGATTTCATACGTTTTCTAAGTCCTCATGTCTGCTTGAATTGTGGTTCCTCGTTGTCCAATCGTCATAGTATTTCAAATTGTCCATAACGAATATGGACCGACTGTATTGTGTTGGTAATCGTGTTATGACCAGTGACCGTAATACTTGGATTGCGGATTCTACACCCAGGATCGATTGTGAGTAGTCCTGTTTGGTTCAGTTGTAGATTAAAGAGCTCGTTGTTGCAAATAGCTGAGAACTGCATCGGTTCTCGAGTTGGTTTTTGTGCGTGCATTGGTAGCCGGAGATATTACTTATTTTTATAAGTCATTGCTCAGTCAGAAAAACTTCGATTGGTGAAGATCTGAAATTCGCTGTTGTAGTCACTAGAAAGCATTACAGTTGCGTAGATCAAAATGAGTGAGCTAGAAAAAACGATACTTATGATTAAAGCTCTAGTGTTTCAGGTGCTACGATTGGCACTGTCAATTTGAATATGATGGCATGATTATCCACAAGTGTTCTTTCAGCCGTTATCAATTTACATTCATTAATAAACTAAGACCGGCTTACTATTTTTCAGCGTACAATTCTACACGCAATCAGCTGCTCTATGCTCTCTTTGTTTTTGTGATGTTGCTTGTTTTCGTCATTTGTGTTTGTATTCAATTTTCCATATTAATTTTTATATTCTTTGGGCATGTTGCCTTTCATTTTGTTTTTGCATGCGCTTCTTATACTTGTGTATTTTCACGCATGCATATCTTTGATTTTTGGTGCACTGAAAGGGGCACAAATGCAGAAAAAGAGCAGAATGTAATCAATTTGGTAGGACTGGCTTAAGAAATTTATTGGTTACATTTGCAAGAAAATAATTTCTTATTGGGTTGAGTACAAACAGATAAAAAGTTCAGTTGTAGAATATCAATCCGAATGGTTAAACACTAAAGAAACAATTATACTGCAGCCAAGATTGATTTTGCTGAGTCCTCAAAAAGGACGAAACGTTGTCGGATAGCCCTGCTAGGAAACCATGATGAGTCTGTAGCTTCTTCTTTGCGCTCATCCAATTTTCAACCGAATTTGAAGTCATCTGAAGCAAATATTGACAAAGAGAGACAAATCGACATTTTTATCGTCTACGTATGGTTTATTAGAAAATATTTGTTGAACTCATTCATATTAAAATTTGATCACTTTTATTTCTTATTTTTAAAAAACATATATGATTGTAGTGCAGCCCATTTTTTATATTTTTAATCACTGGTGGAAAGGGGTGAGAAGGTTCTATTTTCACCAATATTTACAGTATTTCAGTACTTTAACTCTACTGGAAGTACTTTTGGCTGCTGGTAAATGGGAGCTATGTGATATATGGGTGCGATCTGATTGAAATTTGGTCAGGTGATGTAAAACCTCCTTAAATGGATACAAAACAAATTTTGTTCAGTTCGGATAAATGTATGAACTAAAAGTTTATTCTGAATCGGACAGTTATATGGGAGCTCTGTGATTTAGTCATCGGATCTTTACGATTTTGGGATGTTGTCATCTTACTCTATATAGGCCTCTATATATGGCAAAATTTTCAGTACGATAGCTCCACTATAAGTATTTTTGGCGCTGCTCCCATACAAGCCGGACCACTGTGCTCTGGAGCCGACATTTCAGTACTAAAAGAAAATACAGACAATTATTAAGACGTCGACATTAACGAAATAGCCTACATAAATGGAATAGGGAACGTAACAATAAACTCATTGGGACTTGCATTTGTTGAAATTAGGTCAGACAGATATATAATACCGCATAAGTTTCACTTGGTCGAACAGTTATTTCGTATACCATGCGATGGAATTCTCGGAATAAATTTTATGAAAAAATATAATTGTCTGCTAGATTTTCAAACTGATCAAAATTTGTTAATTTTAAGACCCAAAACTGGATAAATTGACGCATACCAGGTTACAAGACGGACTTATATTACAAGCACGATCTGAGGTGGTAAGACAAATTAAAGTTCAAACTATGTTTATTCCGGATCAAGAAATAGTAGAAAGAGTAGTAAAAGCAAGCACAATATTCGATTCGATTCGAAAAATACATATTAGAGTACTAAATACAACAAATAAAAAAATAATATTAAAATCTGAACATATTAAATTCGAACCGACATAGTAACCGAATCTATAGAACGATCATGAGAAGTAATAACTAAATTAAAACAGAACTTTCCAAAACAATTTGAAAAATGTTTAACAAAACTAT